TTCAGGGTAGAAGCCAGGCGGCTCCCCGCCCCCGCTACACAATGACAACCCCATCCCCCACCCCCATCCAGCTTCGGCTACCACCGTCTACTATATCACACATCATTCCACATCCTCTAGAAGAGTACTGTTACTCCAATTCAATCTTCTCTTTCATTCTTCCTGCTTGGCTCAACGTCCACCATCATCTAAGAGTACCTACCTGACCACTACTCTCTTAACCAATACCGTCATCTGCTCTTGGTTTTCGGTGACACGGCTCCGTGCCATTCCGTATCCCTTGACACCCGTCAAACCGTCCCGACACCTGACGTATTCCCTCGTCTCGTGATTAGTCGGTGCCTGTGCTAGCCAGCCAAACTAGGCGGACGCGGTAAGTTTGCTCTTTCTGTAGTAGCCGCTTAAGCACGGCTTAGAAGCGTCGTGAAGGAGGGCTGCATATGCCAAATAGACAACGAATCCCCCACATTGGGCCCATGTTGGCTATCCACCGAAGCAATTGAGCCATTTTCTCTACCTATAGATGTACTAATCCTAGGCCTCAGAACATACCATCGTGGCATCGCTTGTTCCCCTCTGATTTGCAGGCTCGGACCCTTGCCCCTCCATACGCTCCCCCGCCATCACACACAGACCAACCTCACCACTCGAATCGGACCCCACGAGACAAAGGCAACGTCCCGCTCCCAAGCCAACACAGTCCTCCTTCTTTTCTCCTTCTCTCTCTCCTTCTTCAGATTCTTCCACAATGGCTTCGACACCCCTCAACGGCGCCAATGGGCCCCAACAGCCTCACCACAAACAGCTCGAGCAGGTGCTCAACACGCCCGACAGACGTCCTTCTCCGCTACCCACCCACCTCAGTACCCCTGCCTCGGGATCCGGCCACTCGACCCCACGTATTATCCCACAAGAAGGCTCCGGTGGCTCAGGCTATGTTGCCCCTGTCTTCACGGGCAAGGAGAAGCAAATGGAGGCCGTCATGGACGGCGTCGAGGAGAAGGGTTTCATGCCTCCAGAGCTGGTGGAATCAGAAACCAAGTGGTTCTACAACGAGCTGGGCATCGATGACATGTACTTTGCCACCGAGACGGTAGATGCGTGCGTATACCCTTGCATGACCACAGGTAGCCATCACAAATCCAAAGCTGACAGTTGCCTAGAATCGTGAGCCATGTTCATTCCCTTTACGCCGCCAAGGTCGCCGCTTACGCTCGGGACGACAAACGCCTCGAAATCCGCCTCGACAAGGAAGCTGCCGACCACGCGGTGTACATTGATACCAGCCGGCCTGGTGTGTCAGTCATTGCTGGCCCACAGTACGAACAGCGCATCGGTAAAAAGTACTTGGCCGTCTCAAAACCAGGTCTTGCCTATCGCGTCGAGAGTTTCCGCTCCGAGAGCCCGCTCCCAGGTAGTGATGATCAGCAATTGCGCTGCTACTTCGTCTACCAGTGCGACTTTGTGGACCCCAACCCGAAAGAAACCGAGACAGACATTGAGAAGATTGGTGACAAGCGCTTCTTGCAAAAGGCGACTGATAATACCAAGGCTATTTACCAACAGATTCTAAAAGTCGCCGTCGAGAGAACCGGCCCCGTCATCGAGTACTTCGACATTGAGGGCTCAAGGGACAAGCGCCTGGTCGTCGGCTTCAAACGGGGCAGTGCGTTGGGTCTCTTCAGCGCCTTGAGCGACTTGTACCACTACTACGGTTTGACAACATCACGAAAATATGTCGAGCAATTCTCCAATGGCTACACGTGCATGTCTCTCTACCTGCGCCCTCTACTAGGTGCTGCAGGCGCAAAGCACCCTCCCATCGAGGCTTCGATTCATCAAATCACAAAGGAAGTCTCTTTGCTGTACTGTCTGCCTCAGAACCGATTCCAGACGCTCTTCGCCACTGGACGGCTCAGTCTGCAAGAAACAATCTACGCGCATTGCGTATGGGTCTTCATCACCCACTTCCTAAACCGTCTGGGAAACGAGTACACTGCCCTTGCAGCTATTCTGGACCCCGAGAACAGCGCACACGCCGAGCTTCTCTCCAAGCTCAAGCGGAGGCTACGTGCGGAGACGTTTACCGCAGACTACATCTCCGAGATCATCTTCACATACCCTGAGCTCGTCCACACCCTTTACCTGCCATTTGCCAAGACACACTATGTGCAGACGAGGGGCCAGGCAGACGACTTCTTGCCTACTCTGAGTTATCTGCGACTACAAGTCGATAGGGTCCAGACTGACAGCGAGCTGACGGAAACTATCAACAAAGCCGTCGCCAATGACCACCATGTCATGGTCATGAACTCATTCCGCATCTTCAACAACTCGGTGCTCAAGACCAACTTCTACACCCCGACCAAGGTAGCCGTCAGCTTCCGCTTGAACCCTAACTTCTTGCCTCCTTCAGAGTACCCTCAGCCTCTATATGGCATGTTCCTTGTCATTGGCTCCGAATTCCGCGGTTTCCATCTCCGCTTCCGCGACATTGCTCGTGGTGGGATTCGTATCGTCAAGTCCAGAAGCCAGGAAGCATACTCAATCAATGCGCGGTCCATGTTTGATGAGAATTACAACCTTGCAAACACGCAACAGCGCAAGAACAAGGACATCCCAGAAGGAGGCTCCAAGGGAGTTGTACTTCTTGACTACAAGCACCAGGATAAGGCCCGCGGCGCTTTTGAGAAGTACATTGACAGTATTCTCGATCTTCTCCTACCACCAAGCAGTCCTGGTATCAAGGACCCTATTGTTGATCTTCATGGCAAGGAGGAGATTCTCTTCATGGGCCCGGACGAGAACACGGCTGACCTAGTCGACTGGGCAACGGAACACGCTCGTGTTCGAGGAGCCCCATGGTGGAAGTCATTCTTTACCGGAAAGAGCCCGAAGCTGGGAGGAATTCCCCACGATCGTTACGGCATGACCACACTGTCTGTTCGTGAATACGTGCTTGGTATCTACCGCAAGCTCAACCTTGACCCAAGCAAAGTTCGCAAACTGCAGACGGGTGGCCCAGATGGCGATCTCGGATCCAACGAAATCCTTCTCAGCAATGAAAAATACATCTCGATTGTGGATGGCTCCGGTGTTCTTGTCGACCCCAAGGGTATCAATCATGAAGAGTTGCTGCGTCTGGCCAAGAGCCGCAAGATGATTGGAGAGTTTGACATTTCTAAGCTTTCGCCGGAGGGTTACCGTGTCCTGGTCGATGACTCGAACGTTCGACTGCCGAATGGAGATCTCGTGTACAATGGCACAACCTTCCGGAATACTTTCCACCTTCGTAGCGACATCCATTACGACACTTTTGTACCCTGCGGTGGTCGCCCAGAGTCGATTGATTTGACTTCTGCCAATAAACTCATTGTTGACGGCAAGTCGGTAATCCCATACATTGTCGAAGGCGCCAACCTGTTTATTACCCAAGATGCCAAGCTTAAGCTTGAGAAGGCGGGCTGCATTCTCTACAAGGATGCTTCAGCTAACAAGGGTGGTGTGACTTCATCGTCTCTCGAGGTCCTTGCGTCACTCTCCTTTGACGACGAGAGCTTCATCAAGCACATGTGTGTCGGCGAAGATGGCCAAGCACCAGAATTCTACAACGCCTATGTACGCGAAGTACAAAAGACCATTCAGAACAATGCGCGCCTCGAGTTTGAGGCCATTTGGCGCGAACACCAAAACACGGGTCAGCCTCGCAGCATCTTGAGTGATGTTCTCAGTAACGCGATTACCAAGCTGGACGAGGAGCTACAGAACACAGATCTGTGGAAGGACATCGAGTTCAGGAAGTCTGTTCTCAAGGAGGCGCTGCCCAACATTTTGCTCCAGCAAATTGGGTTGGAAAAGATCATGGAAAGGGTAAGTGAAGCGATGTGGCGGTTGCAAGTGATTTGTTATTAACACACTCAAAAGGTGCCTGACAACTATCTCCGCGCGATTTTCGGAAGCTACCTTGCCAGCCGTTTTGTGTACGAGTACGGTGTTTCGACTAGCCAGTTTGCTTTCTTCGACTTCATGAGCAGGCGCAAGAACTCGGGCAGCAATGGTGCGACGAATAACGCGAAATAAGGGGATTCTCCACTTCACATGATAAAACTTGATTTTTTTCGGCGTTGTGAGCGGCCTGGGAACAAGGCTTAAAAGTTATGAATGGGGATCCATTCAAGGTCTCTTGACGATTGTGGCGTGCATTGGCATGGCATAGCATAGACGGCGCTTAGATATTCTGGAACCTCGAACGTGGCAGCGTGCCTGTCGTGGTTCCAACCAACAATAATGGAGGAATACAAGTGCTTTTTACATGCGACTCTGTTAGATTTCCATTGTGCATCATCACCGTCATCATCATCAATGTTGACTCGTATTTGCACCGGCCATCACAGCAGATGGATGAACAGCCTCGGCACGTATGCCAATGAATAGACAATAGACTGCACCTACCTCGTCCACACACACACACACACACACACACACACACACAATGCGTAGCGTAGAGCAGGCATTCCCACATCCACCCACTCCAGTGCCCTACAGCCCCCCCCCCCCTCCACAATCCCCAAATCCACACCACGTGCACACCGTACCTCCCTCTCTTCTGCGCCACGCATCCCCGCCGCCACGCTTCTGCCTTCATTGGCCCACAGCCCACAGACATCCTAGGTATGTATGTATGCATGTAGGTATGTATGTATGCAGGTATGTATGTAGGTATGCAGGTATGTATGTAGGTATGTATGTAGGTATGTATGTAGGTATGTATGTAGGTACCATGTGCCATGTGCCATGTGCCATGTAACCATATAACCATGTAACCATGTGCTGGTCCTTGGCCCTTATCATAGCGAGTGAGACACGTCGCGCGCGTAGAATCCGGGGGAGGCAACAAAGTCTTCCCCTCTCTTCCGACTCTCACTCCCGCCCTCGCTCTCACTTTCACTTTCGCCGTTTTCTTGCCTGTGTGCGTGACATTGACGTCCCTTGCCTCTCTCACCCCGTACTATTCTTTTCTTTCTACAACGCACGACGCACGACGCACGACACACAACGTACAAGTTCGACACCTACCCACCAACACCAAGGAGACAGGCGAACTGGGTCTACCGCACTCACGCACGAACACATACACGTCATTCTTCTCGCCAAGACAAATACGACGCGTGGTAGATTTTGAGAATTCGCTCGCTGGTTTGCGGGGGGTTTTTTTTTTACTGAAACGAAAAGGTTTGGGGCTGGAGTAGGTTTGGGACGGAGTCGGTGGGTTATTTGGGCGAGCTGTGAGTGTTTTTTTTTATGGTTTCCTTTGGGGAGGGGGGTTTTCTGTGTGTTGCGTATGCCTCGTGTCATGGCTTGTTTTTCCGTTGCGTCGGTTTTGGTTCTGGCTCTGGTTCTGGCTCCGTCTGGCTCGGGTGCAAGTAATGCTTATGCGCCGCGGTGTTGCATCTTGCACCGCCTGTGTGGGGACGACTGAGGCGTGGTCATGGGGCTCATGGGGGTTCCAAGCGTTTCTTTTGCGTTTCTCCATGGATGGCGAGGACGGGTGTGTGGAAAGGTGCTTGTGCGTGGTGTACATACATGGTCCTGCGTGCACTTTCTACCGTTGCTGTAGCATGGGCATACGCATTCTAACACACACGACGCAGCTTCGACGCAACACAACGTGGCTCGACTCGATTCGAACGCTTCCCTTGAAAAAAAAACTTCTGGACTCAAACTATATCTTACAAGATGGCTGCTTCAACCCGCGCAAGCACTGGTCCGTCCTTCCCTTCTCCCGA